GCCACAGCCTTTCGATGCGCTGGTTGTGTGTACTTCGCCCAGTGATTATGCTACCACGATTACTACCCCTCTTTTCTATCATGTAATCTGCTATAGCAACATTTTCTAGACCTTTATCTGTTCTCACTCTGTTGGGTAGACCATACTTGGAAACAGAATTAACAAAACACGACAGGAGAGTCTCAGCCTTTTTGTTATTTGTGCAGCTCAACATGACGGGCAGACAACTAAATCCATCTATGCCACCAACAATTATAAAATTCCAACGCACCAATTTATGATTGGTATCCACATGACATAATTGATTTGGGCCTTTGACGTTATATACTCTACAATGCAATCTTCCTTTTTTTCTTGCTTGAACTCCACATTCATCTACTCGATGAATAGAATCGCGTAATCGCATTCTTTGAACTTTTATACCCTTTCCCCTGAGAAGCTGCTTATTAATCATTACCTCCCCGCATAATGGAAAATCTTTTGCAATACTTCTCACATAGGTGTCTAACTGTTCATCAGAAATATCAGAAAAGTCTAATTTACTTAAACCGTGAAATCTCATTCTGCGATATATCGTACTTTGCGATACAGAAAACATTGTCGCGATTTCTGAAATTTTAAAATCTTCTTCAAGGTAACTTTGAAGCACTTCCTTTGGGATTTCATATTTCAAATTACCAAATTCATCTCGCTGGCTTGTTGGTTTTCCAATTCCATATTTGGCACACTCAATTCGCAAAGCCATCACATCGCTGACGTTGTTGATTCCCAACTTATTGAATTCATACAATGAAAGATGGCAAACTATATCAGGAGTGATTTTTTCTTCTCTAAATTTTTCAATATGACAGCCGAGATTAAACTTTTCCAAAACACTTGACATAGTTGAGAGTGACGCCATGTTTGATGCAAAGATTACAAGCCAGTGAACTCTAAGAGACCTGGAACGATAACTCAATACATTACGCGCTATGATTGGATGAAGCCAAACTTCGCGCTCCTCAGACGCAACATGTTCTCTGAGTGGACGAAAGAGTGAACAATGACAATCCTTCGATTGTAAACGGCATGATCATGGCGGCTTGCAAATGTCGTTTTTTGGATAAATTTTTGAGAAATCAGAGCTAAATATATACTTTACAACAATCAAATCGGACAGGAAAACATGCTGAAGAAATACAATTTGGAATATGCATTAACTGCTTGTGAAAGCAACAAGAAACCCTCAAAGTATCGCATTGCTTTGTAGTAAAATTTGTCAGGTATGTTTATAGTTTCTCTTCATTTAATGGACATCAGTACGATTTTGTAAAGAAAAAGGCAATGTTGCTTTGAAAATAATACAAGAAATGAACAGTTCAGTATTAAAATAATACAAAAGAGTAAATAATACAATAATACAAAGGATCTTGGTATGGTTTTTATTGTGCAATGAACACACTATTATAATAATCTAAGTCTATTTCAAAGCTAGTCAAAGCTAGTTTTATAATTTACAATCTCGTCTTTAATTTACTAAATCGTTGTTCAATTATAAAAATTTAAGTCCATTTCAAAGATAGTTTAATAAATATAAAATTGAAGTATGGTTTTGATATAAAAGAGATAATGGAACTTATAATTTACAATCTCCTCTTTAATAATTTACTAAATCGTTAGTAACTATTCCTGAAAGCAGTGTTCTTGGAGATTCATTCAATTGAGATGTGAGACAATAAGTATTTGGGTCATATATACATTTTCTACACTCAATCTTATTGATTTTTAAATAGGATCAGTTTGGTGAGTTGGTGCCTGCTGCTTGGCTGTCCATTCGTCACAACAGTGTTGTTAAACCGTTTGCAGTAGGTAAACAATCGCAGTTTCAAGTATGTCTGCTATTAATTTTATTAATGATGCTCTGTGGTCTTCTTCAAATACGTTTTCGTTCAGTCCTTGTTCATGATCATCAAATAATGATTGGCTTGAATCCATGACAAAATGATTGCACACGTTCACAATCATCTTCTCTTTCAGTTGCTTCTCTCTTGTTATTTGGTGACCTTTGCAGACATTCGATTTGAAAACTCTCTCAGCATATTCAACCACGGTGTAAACAGATTGAGATGGAATTTTTAAGCCACCATTGTTCACAAATAAAGTAAAAGCAGAAGCAGCAGCAACGTCATTATACTTCGTGGCACAGTAGTCATGGTCAGGTGTTGGTGTGGAAAAATGTGAGACTAGGCAGTTCTTGCAGGATGAACATGTAAGTTGTTTTACACGTTTGTACACAATGTAGCCACCAATGTAAAACAGGACATTTGACAGAAACTCGGATGTTGTTGGGCCATTTAAATGTGCAAGAAGCAGGTTTTCTTCAGGTGCGGTGTCATCTTGTTGGTGGCAATCATCGGGTGCAGCTTCTTTCAGAGGGGCTTTGTGTTTCCTTGTGTGAAAAAATGGAATTACGGTTGTTGGGTAGTTTGAAAAGGTCGGACAGTTCGCATTCTTTGAAGCTGTCACCGCATTTCTAAGCAGCATTTTTCTGATGGCATACTTTAGTTGCAGACAATTTGGGTTATTGTTCCAACCACCTTTAGCTCGAATGCACGAGAACAACAACTCGATATGATCCTGGGAGAATTTGTATGTTAGGAGATACTTGAATGGTTGATTGATTGAGGTAAACATTTCATTTGCCATTTCAATTGTTGATTTGATGCAGGTTACAAAGCCAATTACGAAGGTTTTATGTGAGTGGGTTGAGAGAAGTTGTTGACTATCAGCATGTGTTTTTAGTCCGAGTAAGTATTTCGCAGTGGATCTCAAAATGTCCTCCCAAGTTTCTCTGCTTTCAGGTCGAAGGGGCTGCTTAAATCCTAAAGGATTATGGAAATTGAGGAAGTCAAATAGATGGTCTATTGTTCTTACAAATTTGACTGTTCCAACAGAGTCTTGAAATTGATTCAGTTTCATGGAAGCTTCTAAAAATTCAATTGCATCTGCAACTGAAGAACTCAGTGTTTGTGCAGCCAGTTTCACATTCATTTTGTGTCTCTCAAATTTCAAGTGTTTTGAGGACAACTTGTTTGCAAGGGTAAACCCTTCACTTTCCTGAATAGTGTTCAGTGATGTAAAGAAGTTCCATTTAATAAGTTTGTTTTCTTCATCAACAAAGGATGTCAGGTGGGCAAGTGCATTTCTTGCAAGTTTTAACATATGACATGGATCAAGGATTGCATAAACATAGTAATTTTCGGTTGGATGTTTGAATTTCGTTACCATTGAGTCATAGGATGTTGTGAAATTGCAGCCAAGCTCTTGGAACATGCTAATGTTAACGGTGGTGCCATCTGTTGTTATGGACCACACTCGAAGCCCTGCTTCTACAGCCATTTCCAGTGCTATTCGAACAAGTTGTGCTTGTGTTTTTCCTGACATTTTGTCAGCAAGAAAATACTCAGTTGGACATTTCCAGTGACTTTGTGCACCCACAAGTAGAAAGAAAGACAACTGCTTCGGATGCAAGTATATCCGGCTTTTCTGTTGGTACAGTTCCATAGTTCACGAAGCCTACATACTTGTCTTGTTGTGAATCCCACAAGGTTTGCTTTCTTGTGGACATGGCATCAATAATAAGACAGCAATCTTGCTTCTCAGGACAACTCATGGCATCTTTTTGGAGAGATTCGAAAGCTTCTTTGATGAACCCGGGCTCACATTCTAAGATACTTGACCATTTTCTTATTATAGATGGATGTGGCAATGGAAGGATTGATCTCACATACTGATATGCTTTGGGTGAGTAATAATTTAGTGTTGTTGCAAATTCTTTAACAGTGTCTGTATACCTTCTACCATTGGGGGCACAGCTAACATTATTTTTAGTATCTCTGAAGATTGAAAGTTGGATTCTATCAAATTTTGCATGCATATTTTCAGCATTGTCAGATGTTAAAATAAGTTTTTGTTGCAGTTCATGGATAATATCTGCCATGGTTTGTTGCTTTGCCTTAGTCCGTCGTAACTGCTGCTGTAGACTTTTAATCTTTCTTTTTAATTTGTCTTCTAGGACTGGTCTCTCAGTCTCTAGATCTGATGGGTTTATGGAATGTAGTTGGCACAGTATTCTTCTTCAATCTGCAGGTTCCATTATCACATGGTGGAATGATATACTCCCGATGATGAAAATGGTTGCTGCAAACATGGCTGTACTTTGTTGCCTTCCACTCTGGACGGTTGTTTGCATCCCTCACTGCCTCCCATTTTTCAAGCACTGCTGGGTTGTTTAAAGGAAATCTAAATGTGTTTATATCAAATTCCATATATACATTCTTGCAAAATTTGAATTGTTCTTGTGTTGAATATCATGTACTACAGGCATGGAATAGACTTTTATCTAATATAATAAAGCATTGTAACTTTATCATATTTATTGTTAGGGTGGTCTTCCACCCAAATTTTCCAATATTCGTTATTTTTTAGAAAAACGTAAAAATGTAGTCTTTATAGCGTTCTTTATAAAATCCGTGTAATTTTAAGAATGAAAATGTACCGTAAACCAGAGAAATCCAGCAAATTCTACACCTTCGTAGGGTAAAACCACGATTTTACCCGGAGCGATAAAGA